AAATATTGATTAATTAATTTATATTAATATCGTTAATTCAAAATCAACAGTATATAACGATATTTCATATTTTATTAAAAAGATAGGCAAGTGTCAGCATCTTTTGCGTCATCAATAATATTATTTTCCTCATTATTTTAATTTAATTGCTTTATCTTTAGGAGGAAAGGCATTACTTGTATCACTTAGTTTTTTTCACATCAAATCAAGCTATATTAATGCGGCAAGCAAAAAAATTTGTTGGTATTTCTTTAAATATTGTATACCGATGCATTTTTTCATGCACCTTACATTATAATAAGAAATCCATACCGCAACTAATTAGCAGTCTATTTGTATAAGGCACATTATTTTTTTTCGAATATAAGGGAAGATTTTGTCTTATGTTTCATTACTAGAAAAAAATTTATAACTAAATACTTTTATGAACATCTCCGAAAAAAATTGAAAAGGTATATTATTACAAAGATAAGAATATAGAATAATACAATACATAAGAATAGTAAATATAAATGCAAAATGGTCGAAACATAAAAATCTGCCTAATTGATACTAATGTGTTAGTCAGAGTTTATATTGAATAACAAATAACATAAAATTCTCGTCAATAAAAATAACGATTATCAGAAAAAGGGCTCGTAAAGAATCGTTAATTGAATCAATTATTTTTTCTTGATATTTATATTCTAATTGTATAATGTAAACTCTAAAAAGATGGAAACGGAGGAATAATAATAACTGTACGTAATAGCAAAAAAGTAAGTGACGCTTTACAGAAAACTGCATTCATGGAAGATATATCTTATACTTAATTCGTCTTAATTGTTGGTCAAGGCTTATGTCACTTCACAAGCTGTCAGAATTTTAATTGTAATCGACACAATTTATCGCAGTGTGTGTTTGGTCCCATCATGGAATTCTAACATATGAAGCTACATATTGTCATCTAGAAGCTGAGAATACTCAACTTGGATACTCATGAAATATATTTCTGAGCATTTATAAAATTAATTTCGATATTCTATTTCTTTTATCAATATATTTTGAATATACTTTATTCAAATATATGTCATGAAATTCAATTGATATCAAGATAAAATTTCAAATTTATATCAAAATATCAAGATTCTTAATAAAAGTTTTTAATAATTAAAATATCTAATTATCTGATTTTCTAAGATGACAGTGCGCCGTTTCGATCAAACTTTATTTCAGCCGAATAATAAGAGCCGAGTAGAAGCGCTATCTCGAGTATTGTATCACGTAATTCTTTTTAACATCGTCTCTTTCTTCGGCAAAACGCCTAATTAAGTGCTCTGATCGAAGTGGTGGCAACAGTTAGCAAATGGAAGCTCGAGATGAGAAAGAACGTTTAAATCTGCGCCGGTTCGACATAATTAGCGGGTAGCATGCCGTGTCGTCCGGTACGCTGCACCAATCCAGTCATCCAACCCTCATCGACAGCTGTGCAATTGACAATTAAATCACCGTCGCAGAAGCTCACCTCATCGAGATCTTGCGCTTCGTAGTCATACATCGCTCTGTACACTCTCTGCGAAAAATACATTTTTATAGAAAAAAAAGATATGTAAAACATCCATTTGGCATTCTATACACATTTTTTTACTTATGCTTTTTGTCACAATAATTTAAGAAGCTCATTTAAGAAGTGTAATTTGTAAAATTATAAACTCTTTCCATGAAATCTTTCTTAGATTAGCAAACACATAAGATTATATTACAAATAACTCATAAGAGACAACACAATGCGACAATAAGTAATAAAAAAGATATTTACTCCGACGTTGGAGGGCGGTGGCGGTGATTGATGTTGAGGTTGATGCTGATTATTATTTATCGTTGTAGCCGGCGTTAACGATCCGTAATATTCATTCACTGGATCGATGTCAGCAACCGAGCCAATTTTTCGTGTCGGTGGATTCGTCACTGCAAACACATCGAACTTTTATGAGCAACGTATAACTTACAACTTTCTACATTTGTATACTCTATTAGAAACGCATAATTCGTTCTGTAATCAACACCCTTTTGTTCTTCAGTTAGTAACAATTGTTACTTGGTGCGATCCTGTGATCTGCCACATGAATTATTCCGTGGGTTCAGCAAAGAGCGAACACGGAACCGCAGAATGAGAAACATTAAACAAAGAGACGATTACACTTTCTATTTTCCCAACGAGGTGCACGCGGTGATGTCGCAACGATTAATTCCAGTGCAAATTGCTTCGACAATTTGTCTTTGTGATGAATCGTGTGTAACGACGATAAAAGCATAATGATGCGAGCGTTTAAGTCTGACGAGCGACAATAATGGTTTAGGTGATTTCACGATCATAATATAAGTCTGGCGTTACAATAGGAATAGCTAAGCGTTTGTCTTCCTAAAATTATCTTTCTAAACAACAATTCGATTAAAGCACGATCTATTGAAACCTATTATCATACAGGGACACGAATTCTATCCCACGCAATCATAAAATAGGCAGAATAGACTGCAGAATGCGACCTCAGGTAAAAAACATCTCAATAAAAAAATATACATTATTAAAATTCTTTCTTCGTTTCCATCTTCCACGAATCTTAATTATTAAGACGCAGCCATATAGGCTTTTGATATAACTATGAATGTATAATCAAATATCAAATTGATCGTAAACATTAATCGCATTAAAATTCAGATACCAAAAATAATGTTACGTATTAAATATGCAAATCACAATCCATAATAATAATAATAATAATATTAATGTTATATAGTATTACATAATCTTTCTACAAGTTACTCAAATTATTCTATATTATAATAATATAGTCATGCGACGTCTCTCTCTACATAGCGAAAGGTTGCTGCAACGATTGTAGCCGCGAAGGTAAACGCACCTGGTCCCTTGTCGCTCGTATAAATGACTGTGGTAGCAGCTTGCCTTGCGGAATAGGGACTCGGCCTCGCTTCGCTAAGGGGATCGTAATCAGCGATCCTACCTGGTGTCCTCTGTACCGGCGAATTTGCCGTCCTTGCAGGCGGCGGATTGGCGTTTATGCTCGACGCAGGTGCGATCGTACCGTCAGTGTACTCTACGTACTCTATATCAACAATGCACGAAAAAGACTAGCGATACGTTTAATAGAAGCATTCTGCGATCTGCCCACCATGAACGGTATTATGTGTGTGTAATGGAATCATGAATATGGAAAAAAATAATGCAATAAGAATCTAAATTTTGTCTGAATTTTACATTGTCGTTTTGGTGGATTGATTGCAGCAATACGTGTGTATTCATGATTATGTCATTTTTAATACACAATTTTGTAAATGAAATGTGAACAAATAGTACACTGGTACACAATAAATTCACGAATACTGATACATAATGTATAATCTGCAACTTGATGATTACAGATAGATACTATTATGTAATCGTTAATTAACAGTTGAGATGTTAAAAATTGAACATGTAATTATATTATTATTAAGATTAAAATCATAGACAAAATGTTAGGTAACTTATTTAAGAAATTGTATAAATTATAATTGTTATAAAAACACATTGATATATAAATAAAAAAGAATTCCCAATTTACAAATTTATGTTTAGATTATCCCCAATAATTTAATCAAATCACAAATTACGTCAATAGCATTTTTCCAATGTTAGTGCGTTAAAAATCATTCAACAAATTTTATTTTAACAAACATGATATTTTTAGTTTGGCAATAAAGTTTTACACACTTATTGTTATAATTTTAAAACGATACAGTAACGAAATAATAAAAATCGTAAAAATATATATAATTATATTTCCCATTTTATTATGCATTAAAAAGATATAATATCATCATAATAGAAAAAACCGTTATATGCAAATACCGTTAAAGAGTTTACCACCTACCTATTTGCTCGCCATTTTCTCCGGTCATTGTCCTCTTTTGTTCCATGATCGCCTTCTTCTCAAGCTCGCCGTGATAAGCGACATTCGAGATGATCTTGCTGTTCTGTTTAATTCTGAGAGTCTCCGGATCGTCCGCCACTTGCGTAAACTTCCCCTTCGCCTTTTCAAACTCGGCATGATACTTAACGTTACTCTGTATCTTCGTGTTCTCCGCGATACGCTTCAGCTCCGGTGTTTCCGCCATTGTGGTGGCTTTGGCTTTTGGTATGTGCCTGCCAAGAAAGAAAAAAAGTGAAAAATTTTATCGATATTGTTGTAAGAAATTATCTAGCCAACATTAAAGAGCGAGGATTCATTCATGGAGCATTTAAACTCATGCAAGATGAGCAAGTCACTTCGAGTTTAAAGCACCGTTTCGCAACACCCGGTACGTCGTATTTCACATGAGTTTCAGTTTCGTATTTCTCTCTCTCTTTCTTTTTAACGAGAATATCTCGCATATACAAGCCTCTCGCATTATTTTACACGGATTCCCTCGGGGTGACTTCCTACACAAAGGAAACGTGTAAGTTCGCTGACTAATGCAAGTTCCAAGTGAACGACAAGCGGTCAATGACGTCAGTCTTATCGTGAGCATCCTTCGCGTAGTACGTCGATTATAATAGTTAAATTGTAGGTATGGAAAATAGTAAAAAAATAATTTACATTCGTCGATGTCACAATTATGCAATTGTGTGACATTGAGTTTCGAAAAATCCGAATTTGCTACATCATACATGACATACAAAATGTGTGATGCACCGGTGTCTCGTACGTGTGATAACGATATTTGCATTCTTGTTATTATCACACTACACTATGAAACAGCGTTATCTACAACTGCATACTACAAATGTCTGCCCGGAATTAAACGCATGAAACTTATATTCTAAATTTTTACACACACACACACGCGCGCGCGCACGCATGCACGTATAATGTACGAACTTTAATTAGGAATGTATGTATAAATATGACTTTTTAATTAGAAAATTTTAAAATTAGTTTAATCTATTTCTTTAGAGGAAAAATTTTAATCTCAAAAAATTTTAATTTATTATTCAAATTATTATTAAAAAAATTGTATTACATCTTTCGTTCGACGCTATTTTATATTTTAGATTAATATTATAATAGTAATACATATATACATTAATGAAATGAATATTATATGTAGTACTCTAGGTGACAAGATATATTTAATTGCAACAATTCTAAGTTATATTGCTCGATAAATAATTATTACTTGACATTCTGGACAAGCAGTATGTGCCTCGTGACGTAATTATAATTATTAATTAGGCGGGCAAAAAAGGTATGCCTAGTCTTAATTATGACGCGATTAACACATTTCAGCGAATTGAGCGTGCATAAGCTGCTATTTTAAGCGGATTATTCGCCTCGCATGCGTAAAACGCTTTTTGCTGTGCATGACGCGTGTTAACGTAAAATAAGGATAATTATTAATCAATCGATAACCGGATGAGTCGAGTGAAATTCGATAGAAACCTCCTTTAGAAACGACCGATTTAATTATGGCACAGATAACTGTCCGGTGCTTATTTAACGAAATAGAAATCAGTGCGTGAACGCATAATGATACGTGCGCCTGCAGTAAATGACACGCGTGAGAATGCAATTTCAGTGACATGCGTGAATGTATCGACAATATCGTATTGCGATCCGCATTAAAAAATGCCGGTACTGACGCAATTAAGGAAATGCTTAGCATTGTGTTGATAATTGAAAATTCCGGTACATTAACCTGTTACCTATTGCAACTTTCTATGTATATTTTTATCACGTTTTATATACTAAAAGTGCATATATGTATATAAAAAAACTTATAAAATTATAAAAACTTATAATTTTTAATTTATTATTTTTTTATATAAAAATATTTTTCATATTACAAATTAAATGAGACTGCTATTCTTTTTCTTTAAATAAATCTATTCTTAATAATTACATCTTTTATGATGTTAATTAATCGTATTTTGGACAATGTGTCTGAAATGATTATCGAAAGTAAATTGTGTAAATCGTATAACGCGCGAGAATTAACCGGCGTATACATAAAACGCAATCGAGATTTGTGTCACGACTTCGTTTCCCATATACGGGCCGCGTTGTCTGACCCGGTAATTGTGCCACGCGATTACGTAATACTCCGGCGTACCGTACACGAATAATAGACATGCACTCTTGACTCTCTTTGTTCAAAGAAGACGAGGGATAGGCATTGTTACGTGCCCAGGGAGGAAGAATTATCTTGTCGACCGATGCGCATCCGAGTTCCTTGAATTTAGCGTGGCAAAAGAGGAAGTTCGCTAAAAATAACGTTGAGAATGGCCATAAACGAAAGAAAATTGGAAAACAATGCGGCTCATGTCTTCTCGTATGACTCTGTTGCATGTTTTCAATTATTATATATACGACAGAATACAGATAATAATACAATAGATAAATATGAGATAAAAATAACATGTACCTCGCAATTTTTCAGATAGCTCAACGGAAATTTAAATATAATATAGAGTTATAATTAAAAATTGGTCAACGGAATAAAAATGCATTAGTTTCTAAATATGTTAAATATTCTACGTCATTATCACATTTAATAAAAAATAAGATTTTTGTAAGAAATCTACTTGTGAAATGTTAATAATTAAAATTTATGATTTAATATGCGCCTAAATGATCCTATCATATAATAACAATAAAAGAAATTTCTTTTAAGATAAAAATTTATAAATATGTATGCGAGACTATATGATTTTTTTCCAGAGATTGACTCTACGGACTATACGACCACGATTAATACGCAACGAAGTGATTCATTGAATCATTTTAACCACGTATGTATATGTACGATGACTAATCTCTTAACAAACGCTTGTCTACGTACTATGATATACGTCCGTAATATTTATCGAATTTTTCTGACGCACTCAGGGCGTATTTTACAATTAAGCAGAAAATGAGTTTGCCAACATAACATATGGCGCAAATAAAATAAGAAACATTTCATCAGAGCATAAATTTAAAATAATTAAATCACTCGTAGGATCATGACGCATCTGATATACAATGAATATTCATTTAAAAAAAGATCTATTTTACACAACATATGTGGCCGAATTTAATTCGGTATTAAATGTGATGATGTATAACAATTATATAACCTTTCGAGAATATAATAACAAAATTTAAGTTAATATTTATCGATGATATTGTAAATACTAATCAAATTATGGTGCGACAGAAATTTAGGTACGTATATCTTTCTCTCATATTTTATTGTTCAGTGAAGCTTCTTCAGATTACTTAACAGCGTCACGCGATACTGCATGCCTGATTTATCGAATACTATATATGGAAGTGTCACCAATGTATTGGAAAGGATAACATTTGTTGCACCTGGTTATCACACCGGTCAAATAGCAGCAACGAGACAGTACTGATAAATTACAGCCAAGAATCATAATACGCTTGATAAACGAATATTTAAACATGCACAATGCTATACATATTAAACACATTAGTTACATTAGCAATAAAGTTTAAAGACTCATCCGATCTGATAATATGAACAAATTTAAACAAATCGAATATTTTATGAAACTCTTTATGTAAGTTCGTTTCCTTCCTTAAATCGCTTATATAATTAATTTTTCTTACTGAATCGTCTAGAACTATATAGAATTTCAAAATTTTATTGTATTAATTTAATTTATAATTATTTATCACAAGTTTCTTAAACATAAAATAATTTTTTCCTAATTTTCTTTTGATATATCTGCCGAGTTATTAACGCATACATTTCTGCCATTAGATTTTTTAAGAATTGAAATTCAATATTAATTGAATAATTAAATATATTAAAATTGAAAATATTTTATCTTTATATTCAAATCTTATTTATCCTTATTCGAAAATTAAGGATTTCTATGTTTAAATTATATATTCTCGACCTTGTATAAAATTTCATAAAGTGTTTCTCTTTCAGGACAAACAGAAAAGTGGGATAAATGGCAGTAAATGCAAGACTCAAAACCACATTTCTCGTGAGAGTGATTACGTATAATATTATATCGATGCGCACAAAGTTCATGAAGTCTCGCGCAATGTTTCTTGCCACAGGAGAAATTTCAGGGCGGGTCTATTGGATTCCGTTACTGCGGTTAAATCTCAGATAGCTTCGAAACTTGCTGCACGTCAATCGTGACAACAAAACGAAACCGTATCTGTGTCCGCATTCTAGAAATTCTCACGAAGGTCAACACAAAGAGTAGAAAACGTCCGGAAAAAATACGTATTACAAATTGTAAGCCTTGTAAAAGTATCATAATGTTTGTTCTTTTCTATCCTCTTATTATATCTCTAAAAAAATATTTTTTAAATACAAAAACATATATATAATATATATATATGTGTGTGTGTGTATATATATATATATGTCTTTTTAAATACACAATATATACGACTCTTTAAATAATTTAAATATATATAGTAAAATATTTCACATAATTATTTATATTATTTTATGTCATAATAATTTATATAATCACAATAAAAATGGAATGTAAATTTAACTGAACTGTTGGCGAAATTAGGCATTTTACAATTCATTCGATTAAGAAATATAACTCATATCATAATCGGCAATTATTTGTAATTTAATTATTGTAACTTGCAGAAAATTATACGCTTCTCCAGATATAATATATAGGTATAATATAAGTTAGCTATCCTTACAAATATTAACCTTTCAATAGAGATATTATTTTCTCAACAGAAAACTGTCTCATGAAAGTTCAAGATACTTTTTTTTCTCTGATAATATATATACCTATATACCTATAAGGATTTATAAATTATAAAAATCGTATATTACAGACCTTTACTTTCAAGATTATTTCTCAATATAACACGATGCTCGGTGTTTCAATCTAGTAAAAAAGAAAAGGCTATCGTGTTGAAAAGAATCTAGCGACTCTCCCTTTCCAACGTAATAACGCGAATCTCATGCAAGTACTTAATTTATGCAAAGTTTTACGCACTCACTTTCGATATCGTGCTGAAAACTTATATGCTACTCATTTTGCACGATTCGCATAAATCGCACGTTGTGTATGTTACGCAGAGGAGATAAATACCGGATGGAAATGCGTTTGTAGTGATTTGCTTTTAATCGTGGATTTCCGTGAGCGATGGAAATCGGTGCGTAAGG